AACAACAATGAACTAATTAACAACACGCATTTGAATTCTGCCCCTGCTTCCACTTTGCAAAAACTACTTCTTCCTCACAATTGTATGCTATTTATACAGTCATAATCCATTTATATCATAATAAATACTGTTATTTCTAATAAAGTATACTAATTATTATCAACATAGTCATAATTGTCCACTAAACAACATTAACGTCCACAATAGAAAAAAAATAATCTTATAGCATCCGTATCAGTTTGAGTAAGTAGGTAGCTATCCCCTCTTGCGACGTGCCTTGTGATCATTAATTGGGCACATTTCTGCAGCTGACTGCCTCTTCTCTTCCAACCTGTCTTCCGTAGTCCCCAGGTTGGCATCATCTCCCACAAATCAATGCTCATTTATCCTTTTCTCTTCCCTTTATAGACATCTCAATTCCAACCTCTTAGGCAAGCCATCTATCTCAGTAGCAAACTTGGTAGTTAGCTAACATCCGTAGCCAATGAACCCATAATGCTGACATAATCGAAGCTCTACGGAATGGGGATCTGCAGCTCCTGCGAGGCGACGTCGATCATCGAGACCCCAACGGCCAAGCTGGCGCTAACCGACGGCAGCCTACAAGAATACGACCGACCAGTGAAGGCCTCGCACGTGCTGCGACAGAAGGACGAGTTCGTGTGCGACTCGGACGAGATGGAGTTCGACGGGTTCATGTCAGCGATGGACTCCAACGAGTATTTACAAATGGGTCAGTTGTATTTCCTTTTACCGAGGTCAATGCTGAAGAGGCCTTTGCACGCTGAGGAGATGGCTGCGCTTGCGGTCAAGGCTAGCTCGGCGCTGATGAGGGCCAGGTCGTACCATTTTGGGAGTAGTTTAGCGGTGGCGCCGGTGGTGGACTTTCCGACGATCCAACCGAGAAATAATATAACGACGGAAGCGGAGCATACAACGGTGGCTGCGATGGCTAAGCGTCGGAGACGGCGGAGGTCTGGTAGTGGTGGGAGTGGGCGAAGTTTTGCCTCAAGTTTGGGTTCGATTATGGAGGAGATTGTGGAGGAGTAGGAGTACATCTAGCTAGAATTAATGCTAATATATAGACATTTTATTTATTTTTAAGGATAAATTGCAGATAATGTTATTAGATATTTATTACCGCTCTTTTAATTTGCTTATTAACATTGGGTACTCCTCAATTTAGACTCTGAGAGCGGTTGCAATTTATCACTGTGATTTTAGGTTATTTGACGCGCATGAAAATGCAAGGAACGATTTACTTGTATTTTCGAGTATATATATTCCACCTGTGGATGAACACAGAGGGTTCACTTTTTTAAAATCAAAACCTTGTTTTATTTATGGGGCAAGTGAGTTTTTCTTGAATGAAAGAAGTTAAATCGACAAAATGGTTTATTACCGGCAGACCACCATAGTATCACTGTTTTAAACTTACTATAACTGTAATTTCATTGTTGTAGATAAACCAGTGGTTAGATTTTTTGTCTCCTGTAATATATTACCCCTAGGTGAATATGTGATTGTGGGGGCCAACACCCACGTGATTACGCGTGAAACAATTCCGCGTGAGAATGCCAAGGCCCACCCGATTTTGATTGCATAAATAACAAAGCTCCTAGGGTTTTGTGCGGTAGCAGGAGGCTGTGATTTTTTCGGCTGTGCAAAGGAACTCTTGGGTGTGCGGCAGGAGAAAAAGAAAACTAGCAAAGCCGTCTGAATTTGTTTTTGGTTTTGTGCAATCCCTTCTTTAGGGTTTTGTGCATTCTTTTGTAAAGAGATATTGTGAGGGATTTGAGAGTTTGTTTGAGGGTTTAGGTTGTGAGTGATTGTAAACCCTAGTTGTATTCTCTCCCTCTATTAGTAGATCTCCCCCCTCCTTGCCCCGTGGACGTAGGCAATTTGTCGAACCACGTAAAAATTGGTTGTATCGCTTTTGTGTGATTTGTAATAGCTTTTTAGGATCCCTCGACAGGTCAGTCCTAGAACTGATGAGAGGAAGAGTCGATATCTCACTTTGTTAAGATATTCGCTTCAGATTCTTGTTTCCTTGGTGAGACGGGAATTCTTATTGTGATCTGACTTTCTTGTTGTGCTGCCGAAGTGTTGCCGAAATTTTCGCTGCGCTCAACAAGTGGTATCAGAGCCCAGATTTAAGATCTAGGGTTTTGGAGTTTGGTGGAGGAAGATTTTGTGTGAAGTTTGGTTCTTGGAGTTCTAGGCTTCGGTGGAGATAGCATTAGGAGTTGCCGTTGGAGATTTCGCTTTCCTCGTGTGGATAGGAGATCTATTTGGAATCCGATTTAGGGTTCAGTTGGGTGGTTCCTAATTTTTATCAAATTTGTTCTTTCTCTATAATTTGGAGTTAGTTTGCAATGGGAGAAGAAGGTGAAAGCAGCAAGTCAATGGCGAGTACAATACAAGTTGGTTTTCAGAATACTAAGATTAGTGTGGTGAAGTATGACGGTAAAATCAACTTTGGTTTGTGGATGAGCGACATACAGGATGCGCTCAATGCTCAGAACTTGGAACACCTAAATATGAAGAGGCGGTATGGGAAAAGATGAATAGGAACGCGTGTGGGGTGATCAGGTCCTGTTTGGAACAGGAACTAAAATATGATGTGATTGGGGTGACGTCTGTAATGAAGATGTGAGAAATTCTCAACAATAAACATCTCACAAAGAGTGTTGAGAACAGGTTGCACTTGCTGCGAAGACTCTTTAGATTTCAGATGTCCAGAGGCACCTTGCTAGCGGCTCATGTGAATAACTACACTAAGTTATTGTAGGACTTGGCGAATGTTGATGAGAAGATACCGGATGAGTATAAGACGATTATTTTGTTAGGCTCCTTACCGGATGAGGAGTATGATACATTCATGCTCACTTTGTTGAACGGAAGATCTTCTATCAACTATAGTGAAGTGACTAATGCATTGACCAATTATGATTTGAGGAGGAAGGACAATGAGACTTCCCATGCTAGTACTTCAGGCGAGGCCTTGTCGACGAGAGTTAGAAGCCTATATCCGAAAGGTGGTAATAGAGGAAGGTCAAAGTCAAGAAGCCATTACCAATTAGCAAAGAACCAATATGTATTCTGCAAGGAGCAGGAACATTAGAAGAGAGACTGCCCGAAGCTCAAGGAGAAAGAGAATGACAAGAAAAAGGGCCCAAAGACCAATGAGGTGAATATTGCGAAAGGCGATGATTCCAATGATTCGTGCTTTTCTCTACTGATTACTCCGGAGGTGAACCATATGGATACATCAGATTGGATGCTTGATTCCGACGCTACTTATCATGTGACCCCTAGGCGAGACTGGTTTGCATCTTTTGAGAAAGTCGACGGGGGTGTTGTTGTTAAGGGAAATGATCAATCCTGTGGCGTTTGTGGGATAGGTACTGTGCGGATTAGGATGCACGATGGAGTAGTCCGTGAGTTGAAGGAGGTGAGATTTGTTCCTCAACTGAAAAAAAAATCTTATCTCAGTTGGAGCTTTGGAGGCGAAGGGATTCAAGGTGACTTTCGAAAACGCTGTAGCGAAGGTTACTAAGGGATTATTGGTGGTGATGAAGGGAGTCTGTAATCGGAATTTATATTATCTGAAGGGAAGCACCGATATTGGCCAGGTTGCTTCGGCTATTTCAGAAGCGGATATGAGCATACTTTGACACTATAGGTTAGGGCACACAGGTAAAAAGTCACTGCAGACACTGTGCAAGCAGGGGCTATTGAAGGGAGCCAAGAGTGGGAAGATTGAGTTCTGTGATCACTGTGTTCTTGGCAAGAAAACGAAGGTGAAGTTCGGGACTGCCATTCATCAGACGAGGGGCATCCTGGACTACGTGCACACAGACGTTTGGGGTCCCACCAAGACTGCATCACTTGGTGGTCGATATTGGTTCGTCACGTTTGTTGATGACTATTCTAGGCGTTGTTGGGTGTACACTATGAAGTATAAGAATGAAGTCCTAGATTTGTTTGTGGAGTGGAAGAAAAGATTGGAACTGCAGACTGGGAGAAAAATCAAGACGTTACGATCCGACAATGGTGATGAATATACTTCAGACCTCTTTTAACAGCTATGTCGAGACGAGGGCATAGAGAGACACTTCACAGTTAGTCATATAGCACAGCAAAATGAGGTGGCAGAGAGGTTGAATCGGTCTTTACTAGAGAAGATCTGATGCTTATTATCGCAGAGTGGTTTGGAGAAGATCTTTTGGGCTGAGGCACTTATATATGCGAGCCACCTCATTAATAGGCTGTCTTCATCTGCGATTAAGGGGAAAACCCTTATGGATAAGTGGTCAGGAGAGCCAGCACACAATTATGACCAGCTCAAGGTATTCGGGTGCCCTGTATTTTATCATGTGAGAACAAATAAATTAGAACCTCGAGCCAGGAAGGCCATATTTATAGGATTCAAGTGTGGTGTCAAGGGATACAAGCTTTGAGATCTAGTTGATAAGAAGATTGTGTTGAGTAGGGACGTCATGTTTGATGAGGTTTCTATCTTGAAGCTTTCCATCTTTCATCAGGTGGAGAGAGACCCGACGGAGGAGATATCGCAGGTGGTAGAGATCAATGCAGCTTCACATTATCCAGATGGTACAGTATCCATACAGGTGCCGACTGAGGTGACGCCAGGTGAGCACGACGGTGACACGGAGGATACGAGTACTGATGTGCAGGATCAGAGACCGACGGCTTAGGTTCAGGATTCGATTGCGGTTCGGAGACAGAGGAGAAACATACAGATACCAGCACGGTATGCCGGCACAGTTGCGTATACACTTCCGGTGGAGAGTATCGATGAGTTGGTACCTACTATATTCAGAGAGGCCGAGCAGAGTTCGGAGGCTGATTCGTGGTAGGTGGCTATGCAGGAGGAGATGGAATCTCTTCATAAGAATAATACATGGGAGCTTGTTGAGCTTCCAAAGGGGCAGAAAGCAATTGGTTGCAAGTGGGTATACACGAAGAAGGAGGGCATTGATGGCACTCCATTGAGGTTCAAAGCTAGGTTAGTTGCAAAGGGCTATGCACAGGAGGAAGGTATTGACTATAATGAGGTTTTCTCTCCGGTGGTGAAGCACTCTTCGATTTGGATTTTGGTAGCTTTGGTGGCACAGTATGGTTTGGAATTAGATCAATTGGATGTGAAGACGACATTTCTTCATGATGATCTTGATGAAGAAATATATATGACTCAGCCATTGGGATTCCGAACTGTAGGGAAGGAAAAATTAGTTTACAAGTTGAAGAAATCGCTATACAGTTTGAAGCAGTCTCCTCGACAGTGGTATAGGCGATTCGATGGTTTTATGATTGGTCATTCGTACACTCGGAGCCAGTTTGATCCTTGCGTATATTTTCACAAGTTGAAAAGAGGTGCGTACATTTATTTGTTGTTCTATGTCGATGACATATTGGTTGCCTCTATTTCCAGGTCGGCTATAGATGAGTTGAAAGTTTAGCTTTCAAATGAGTTTGAGATAAAGGACTTGGGCGAGGCGAAGCGCATTTTAGGGATGGAGATCGGCAGAGACAAGAAGAAGGGCAGAATTTGTTTAACACATGTGGCTTATTTGAAGAAGGTTCTACAGCGATTCCATGTTAGCATGGATACGAAGCCAGTTGGTGTACCTTTGGGAGCCTATTTGAAGCTTTCAGCTGGTCTTTCACCAAAGGCAGTTGAAGATCGAGAGTTAATATCGAAGACTCCATATGCGAGCGCGGTTGGGAGCTTAATGTACGCGATGGTATGTACGAGACCGGATTTGTCACAGGCGGTGAGCATGGTATCGAGATACATGCATGATCCAGGACTGGGTCATTAGGATGCCGTGAGATGGATTTTAAGGTACATTCGAGGTACACACAATGTTTGTTTAGTTTATGAGCGGGACACTACAGGTGGGCAGCTATGCATTGGTTATGTTGATTCGGATTATGCCGGGAATTTGGATAAACGTCGGTCTACTACGGGGTATGTGTTTACTTTGACCCATGCGCCGGTGTGTTGGAGGAGCACCTTACAGTTAACGGTGGCTTTGTCTACAATGGAGGCAGAGTATATGGCAGTTACGGAGGCTGTGAAGGAGGCTATTTGGCTTCGAGGCCTTTTGGAGGAACTTG